CCCCTCCTGCCCCCGAACCCCCCACCACCCCACCCAGGGAGGAGATAGTGAGACCTGAGTCCTAGCTGGGAACATAGGAGCAAAGCCAGGAAGACTTCCTGGAGGAGGGTGAGGTGACCTTTCAGAGAGCCCCACCTCTGATGGCCTGGGCCTCAGCTCAGGCTTCCTACTCCCCAGCCTCCTGGCCTCGGGTCCCCGCGGTCCTGCCTGCTGCCTCAGACATACCCACGTCTGGCCCTGCTCCTCCTCTGCTCCAAACCCTCCCTTGATTTCCTGTCGCCCTTAGGACCAAGTTTTAGGTGGCTCTCTCCCACCCGTCATCTCTCCTGAGACCCAGAACTGCATCTTCAAGTCCCCTAGAGCCGCCATGCCCTGCGTCCCACTAAACTCTGCATCGTCCCTCTAACCCGACCCTCCTCCTGGATTCTCCACCTCAAGTACAGTTCCACCGTCTGTGCAAAGGCTGGGAGCCGTCCTCCCCGCACCCTCCCTACCCCGCTGTGCATCTCTGCCCCCTGCATCTCTCTAACCCATTTCTTCCTCTCTGTTCCCATGGGCCGGGTCCCAGCAGAAGCCTTGTCCCCCCATCCCCTCGCCTAGCCTTCTACTTCAGCCTCATCTCCTACAGTCTGTGCATCCTCACAAGATCCCTGAGTCCTTCTACACCCAGAGCTGCCCCTGCCCCTGCCCCTCCCCTGCTCACAGCCCTCCTGTGGCTCCCTAGGGCTCTCAGGAGGCATCCGAGGAATGGCTAGACCCTGCCTGGCCTAGTCCCACGCACTCCACCCACTCCCTCCCTCCGGCCTCCAGCGCTGACTCTTTGAACACCCTGCCATTCTTCGGCCCATCTCTCCCCTCCCAGATCTGCAAAGTTTCCTCTGCCTGGAATGCTCTCCCTCGCTCTCCGCCCCCCTCCAACCTGGCTAATCCACAACTTGTCCTTCAGGTCTCTTATTAAGAACCAAAATAATAATTGCCACTTATCCGGTGCCAGGAACCGTGCAAAAATGTTTGCCAGACGTTATGGGCTGAACCCTTCCAAACGCCCTGTGAGCTGGTGTTTACCATCCGGGAGACAGCAGCTCAGAGACGGGCCGCTGGAGGTTGCAGGGCCTGAGGGAGAAGCTGGCGGCCTCCGCCCAGGATGGCCAGGCTGCGCACTCCTTCTGAAAGCTTTTCCTACTGCCCCATGCTGGCCTCACCAGTCCTCTGAGCTTGCCCAGGTAGAGTTCTCGCCATGCAGATAATAATCATGATAATACTATATAGTGAGCATTTTCTGCATGTCCAGTGTGGCTCTTGGGGTGCTACTTTAACCCTTCAAAACCCCATGGGATGGGCTTTATAGTGTAAAGACAGTTGCAAATTCAACCCTCCTCCCATTAAGGAGTAGGGTCCCTGGCCGCTCCCCTTGCCTCTGGGTAGGCTCTGTGACCTCTAGACCAGTGGCTCTCAACCTTCCTAATGCCACGGCCCTTTAATACAGTTCCTCATGTTGTGGTGACCCCCAATTTCATTGTTACAAATTGAACGTAATTAAAGCATAGTGATTCATCACAAAAACAACATGTAATTATATATGTGTTTTCTGATAGTCTTAGGCAACCCCTGTGAAAGGGTCGTTCGCCCCCCAAAGGGGTCGCGACCCACAGGTTGAGAACCGCTGCTCTAGACCAAGAGAGTACAGTGGGAGTGGTCCCGTGTTTCTGCACCGAGGCCTCAAGAGACTGGCGTATTCCACTTCCTGCATCGTGAAACACTCCTGCTGGGAGCCCAGCCACCATGCTGAGAGGAAGCTCAAGCAGCCGCATGGAGAGGAGTAATGGCCCCTAGTGAACCGGCTGGCAAGCCTGTGATGGATCCATCTTGGATGTCGTTCCTCTGGCCCTATCTGAGCCATGGAAGAGAAGCCAGCTGTCCCTGCCACGCTCAAATCTCAGGTTTATGAACAAACAAAAGGATCGTTGGGTTACGCCACCAAGCAACAGAAAGCCCGACTGTCACTAACTGCACCTGATGGAGGAGGAAACTCAGGCTTAGAGAGTAGGAAGTTGTCCAAGGTTCTCCCGGAGACGGGGATTGGGAAGGATCTGAACCCAGGGCCTCGGGATCCAGGCCCAGGCCTGTAACCCCTGCATGAAGCTCTTACTGTCTCAGTAGGCCAAATGAATAGACTGAGGCTCAGAGACGGGAAGTAACTCACTCACGATCTCACAGCTGGTTAAGTGTGAAAGTGAGAGTCACTAAGGCTGACTCCAGGTCCCAGCTCTTCCCCGCACCAGGTTTTGATGATGTCTTGCTTGTCTGTCTCCCCAACCAGAATCGGAGCTTCTGGCCTCCTTCCCTCTTGGGTCCCAAGTCTCGGCAGGGGCCTGGCACCCAGGAGCCCACAGCAAACACCTTGCGGATGAAAGCCCTTCTTACCCCCCACCCCACCTCACTGGTATTTGTCTTTCAAGACTCAACTTAGATGCCACCACACTGGGAGTCTCTTTGACCCCAGAGGCCTGCTCGGATGCTCCAGGTGGGCCCCCAGTGCCTCCACGTACAGCACCCAGCACCCACCTCACGGTTGCCTGTGCCCACGTCCATCCCCCTTCAACGTGGAAGCTTCTCAAGGGCAGGGACTGGACGTGACTCACCTGGGTCTCCTGTGTTGCCCAGCACAGGGCCTGGCACACAGGAAAACTAAGTAAATGTTTGTTGAATGAATCAAGGAATGGGTGTCCATGGAATGAGGTAACAGAGACAGACGGCGAGAGTCATAGTTTTATTGCCAAGTTTCACGGACGGGGCTCAAATCCGCCCGATCTCCTTCAGCTTGGCCACCAGGTCCTCCGTGGTCTCCACCTTGACGCCAGCCGTGCGCTGGGGCGGGTCCTCCACACTCACCACAGTGAGCTTGGAGGTCAGGTCCACGCCCAGGTCCCCGGCCTTGAGTACCTCGATCTTCTTCTTCTTGGCTTTCTACGTGCAGGAAGCCACAGATCACAAAGCTGCCGAGCCCCCTGCCCACCCTCCTGCAGCCCCCATGGGTGCCACATCCGCTGAACGACTCCCATTGGCTGAACCCTTCTGGACCTGCCCCCTGGCCAGGACACATGCGATCTCTTACAGGGCCACACCTGGTGCAGACAACTCCTGTTGGCTGGGATGACCTGGGAAGCCCTCCTATTGCAGGAGTCCTCCTTCGGTCAACAGCCTCCACTGGCTCAAATGGACTGGCAAACTCACCCTCTGGCAGTAGTAACTCATTGGACTTTTGGCCAAACTGATCCATTAAACTCACCCTATTGGCTGACATGACTCAATGAACCCATCTTATTGGCTGAGGTGACCACTGAAATCTCCTTATTGGCTGAGATGACTCATTGAGCCCATCCTACCGGCCAAGATGACCCACTGAACTCTCCCCGCTAGCTGAGATGACCCAATAAAGCCTCCTCATTTGGCTAGGATTCCAGAATGAACTGTTCCTATTGGTTGTAATGACAAGGGGAACCCTCTTGATTGTCTGATCAAGACTTTTATTGGCTGAGATAAACAGCAAGCCCTTCCTGTTAGCCAACAGCCCCATGAGCTCTCATTCTCGGCACAGAGGACCCAGTGGACCCTCTCTGTTAGCCAAATGGCCAGTGATCCCTTCCTTTGGATGAGATGTCCCTTGGATCCTGTCTCCTCCCATCTGAACACCAGGGAGGCACAGGGCCTATAGCACTCACCCACCCCAGGCCCCCGTGACCCCTCTGCCAGGTGCTCACCATGATGTTTGGCAACGTGGCATATCGGGGCTCATTGAGCCGCAGGTCAGCGGTCACCACGGCCGGCATCTTCAGGCGCACGGTCTCCAGGCCCCCATCGACCTCCCGCTCCACTTTCAACTTGTCCCCTTCCAGTGTCAACTGGGAGGCAAAGGTGCCCTGGGGAGAGAGCGTAGGGGGAGTGGGCAGATTAGTTCAGGGCAGGCCCCGAGCAGTCCTCCATTGGCCACTCCGTGGAGTGCAGCCGAGGCACAAATGAATGACAACAGAAGAGGAAGCATCCTGCAAGGTGATCTATAGACATCAAGTTCAAATACAGGGGGGTGGATGGGGGCAGCAGGCATGGCTCAGAGGTTGAGCGTCAACCCATGAACCGGAAGTCACCTGTTCGATTCCGGTGAGGGCACATGCCTGGGTTGCCGGCTCAATACCCAATAGGGGGCATGCAGGAGGCAGCCAATCACTGATTCTCTCTCACCATTAATTTAGTTTCTATCTCTCCCTCTCCATTCCTCTCAGAAATCAATCCTATATAATAAAACCCTAATATGCAAATTGACCGAACTGCGGAATGACCGGTCGCTATGATGTGCACTGACCACCAGGGGACAGACTCTCAATGCAGGGGGAGTGCCATTCAGCCAGAAGCTGGGCTCACGGCTGGTGAGTGCAGCGGTGGTGGCGGGAGCCTCTCCCGCTTCCACTGCAGGTGGGCGATAAGGAGCGAGGGGTCCCAGAGTGCGAGAGCCCCAGACTGTGAGAGGGATGTCTGACTGCT